GTAATCAGATTTTCCATACAGCTGGCAATTCAAATAAAAAGGATTGCTGGTCTGAAGATTAAAAAAAAAAAAAAAGGAGAAAAGGGAGAGATAAGAAAAGGTAAAATAATGGATTTGCCAGGACTCATTCAGTATAAAAAGCAAAGCAGAAACACAAAAACAATTTATGCTTAAAATGACAAGGATGAACTGTTGTTTGCTAAGGATTCATCACGTTCAAAATCAGACTTTTTCCTAGCTTTCTAGAAAACTCAGCTATGGTACTTCTGGTATGAAATACTGATACGGCTACAATTATGTTTACGGTATGAAATGAATTGTTTTCTGTGATGTTGACCAGTTGTGACACGTAACACATTCCCTAGAGTAGCATGCATGTTTATTGCTGTAAAATGAGATTTTTTTTAAGGTAACAATGAAAGAGCATCACTTGTGTGAAGTCGTGTAGTTTAAATGAGAGAGAAGAGAAAAGGAAAATACCTGTAAAGCAGAAATGTGGGAGAGGAAGCTTTCTAGCAGTTATGACTAGTTATGGTAGTAGTTATGACTCAGTTTAATGATGACAAAATAGTAATGGGAATTTTTAAAAGTCTGGATTAAAATCCATATAGGTTTATGTACACGCTCCTCTTACCTGCACTTCACAGTATAAAAATTTAAACTACATTAAAAAGTTTTAAAAATTTGAATTGCATTTAAATTAACATTGAATTTTACAGGAAAGATTTCCTGGCGTGTCTACAGTTCTGTGCATCTTTCATCATATCATCATTTACCAGCTTGCTGATTACCTATCTAAAATAAATACTCTGCTGTCCTTTCTAAAGGTGTCTGCCCACCATTCTTGCTTGGGAAACGGTTGCATGCAAAGCCTTCACTGGGACTGATGGGAATTGCCATTAGCCTCGCTCAGCTCAGGTTTAGCTCAGTATGCTCTTACTGCTATCGATACTGTGCAGCACCTCACGTTATTTCTGCTCTGTGCCTACAAAAGGCAGGTTACTGGCTGTTTCTGCAGCGGGGCCGGGGCGGCTGAGCAGGCGGCTCGCTGGCCACACAGCCGCCTCTTGCCACGGGCTGGGACGCTGGCCCCAGGCTGAAGCTTCTCCCCAGCAAGAAGAAACACTTTCTGCAAAAAACACCTGCACGGAGAAATTCCCCTTTCATTTTTCAGCTGCTGTCTCACAACCTATACAGGGACTTCTGCTACTAAATAAATGACTGTTATTTTGACATGCAGGATATTCATTTATATGAAATAATTAAACTCATTTTACCTATTCTATCACTGCCATAAAGAGAACCCTTAAGAAATGTGGCTAGTCATATCAAGCTGTGTCTAAACTATCCGTGAGCAGAAATGAAAGATGATTCAGCATTTACAGCAGTAAAACATCCAGAGGACCGGGCGATGGATAGATTAAAGCTAACGGGGACTTCACATCAATAAAATAAACAGCTGCACGAGTGGCCACCATCTCTGCTAGTGACAGATCACCTGAATGAAAAGATACTGATGCAAAACACATCAGAGCAAGCAAAGAAATCTGAACCAGGGCTCCAAGAGCTGATTTCACAGCAATAAAGAAACAGGGTGTCTAAAGCGGACGTTATCCGCAGCAGGGAAATCAAACATCATTAGATATAAAATATCTCAGTCCACGGTGGTAAAGTCTTAAATGGTGTATGCACAGTTTGACCAGCAACCTGTCACGGTACCCTGGTCAAAATCCGAAATTGAAAGGGTATTAGCATTATTTAAGTAACTGGTTCACTTTGGTTTTAGAGGCTGTGCTCCTTTCTTTCATAGTTCAATCAAAATTGTATTACTGATTCTATGCAATAATTTTCCATAACTTCATATAAGAATTGCTCCTTTACCTACACACTAACAGTGACAAATAAATTTACTAGTTTATAAACCAGCTAGCAAAAAGTGAAATTCATACCTATACCTTATTGTACCTATTTGATATAGACAAGGAATTTAGATGAAATGGAGAGGAGATTGATGTTTTTCTCTTTTCCATACAATATTTCAACTTCGGCAAAAGCTCCCCTCACTCTACATTAAATATGCAATAGATTTCTCACATGATTATTTTAGAGGCTTGCATATTTTATCAGTAACTAAAGCAAAAATTGAGCTATACTTCAGAAAAATTAGGTAATAATATTTAACCAATAGCTTTAATACAAGAAACTTCATATTATAAAAAAACCACCAACAACAAAGTATCCACCAAACAAAAAAATTATTTAAAACTTAATTAAAATAGCTATTTAAAAGAATTGAAACATTTGCTCTTCAAGTAAGTAGGGAGCATCACTTACCATGGAAGGGACAACTGGGTAACCCGAGCACACAAATGTCATTGAGATCCAAAGAATGAAAGCAAAGTTTAACCTGCATAGACTTCAAAGAAAAACTGAGATCAGTTAAAATTTAAAACAAAAGCAAGCAAAACTACACGCACACTGACAAACACCCAAGCGGAATATTTTCTCCATATACAAAGTAATCTGCGGTGTCTTTACCTGATCATTTTTTACTCAGGAGTGTATGTGTATGTACATGCAGTTATACTACCAAATTCCTCACATCTCCTTTCAGTTCTTTCTTAGATGACCATTTTATACCAGAGTTCAGGAGTGAAAATGTCATCAACGCTGATTTTATTATGACTAATTGGTCCTTGTTTGGCCTTTTCTTCTTGTTAAATGGGAAAATGGCAGGAACACACATTCAGCTGCCATTATGAAACTACCAATTGATTTCATTTAAAGTGTTCCATTAAAATGTCTCTCAGGTGGGTTTACTGTTAAGTCTGTATCATCATAGCGAACACAGTCAAAGGTCTAAAGATTTCAAAGACACTTTTCAAGAATTTTTTACCACTTCAAATCTACCATATTAAGACCTTGTGAAGTCTGGCTGCAAGGAACAGCAGTAAAACTGCACTTTAAGTAGAAAGTTCTTCAAAGAATCTTCTCATACTCCGAGCAGCTACAATACATAGAACAATATGCAACAACATATATAGCTTTTTCTTTTTCTCCCCCCCCCTTTTTCTTACATGCTTAGTTTTCTTAGGTGCACCAAAGTTTTAAGTGCTTTTCTTAGAACCTAAGTTCTTTGGATGTGAATCTCTTCTCTTGCATGCAGACATATCTCAGCCTATGTTAAGTTTATTGAATCAAATCTTCTGTAGGATCAATAAATTCTGTTAATCTCCATCAATGTAGCAAATGCTTCATGTCCAAGAGCATCGTTTGTTACTGCAACAAATTTATTTTCTCACATTTAATTTAATTGTGCAACATTTTAGGGGATCCTGTGGTTTATTTATACAGAGCACTGTAAAAGCAGCATGAGTCCCACCAAGCCTCTGGATGTTCGACTGCACAGGCAAGGGGATGCTGAAAAACATTAAATTCAATTTTTTTTTCTCAGAATGAAAACGCTAAGGATCTTTTTTTGACAGTCACCCAGCGTTCAACGCGCACGCCTGTGGCCCAGCAGCCTCAAATGTTGCATTTCCTTCAGCGTTTACACTGGAAAATCAACGTACAAGGGCGTCAGAAGGGAACTCTGTGTGAGTCTTTGGGGAGACATGAGCTGTTCTAAATTATGGCAACTTCTACTGGAACATTCAGTCTCCTGATGTAGATGCATGTAATTCCAGGAGGTAGAAAACAATAAGGCCTTCAGGTAAGGCCGGAAGAAATTCAGTGCCACTCCTGAAGTTGTTACTTAATTTGCTGACTTGCCGCAACTGTTGTTTTTTCATGTTCTTTCTTCAGCGATAGATATGCCATTTAAAACTCTTCCTGTTCAAAGTGGCAAGAACCAAATGTTATGTTAAAAGCCGAACTTCGGTCTCTAGTATGTAGATTGGTGTCAGAATGGTACAGCTGTGCTGCTGTTAGTAATGTTCAAGTACTTAGACTGGTGTAGAAATCGGAAGCAAAGATTTTATTTTCCCGGTGACTCTTGCGTGCTCTGTATTCCTCAGTTGACTTTTTAAAAAATGATTCTCAGTTCAGGTGACTGTTTGTTACCAGGGAAGATAAATGTGGAGTATTTATGGCCAGCATCAGTTGCAGGTGGCAAGATTGCTGGTCTATGCAGATGCCGTTATTCTTGATAGAGAATGAGAGACAGAAAAAGTCAATGTTTTACCTTTCCAGCAACACTCAGTTATTTTTAACTCAGTCAATTCATAGTTTTTAAAATGGTTAATTATAAATCTAGTTTAAATACAAAAGTTGCATTCTCTTTCCTTGCTTATGGAATTCACATGACGCATATTTCATACTCGCTCTTTTTTCCAAGTTCAGTATGCAACCTGATCTAGTTAGCGGTGTCCCTGCTCGCTGCAGGGGGGTTGGACTAGATGACCTCTAGGGGTCCCTTCCGACCCAAAACTTTCTATGATTCTATGATTCTATGATTCTAAGAGCCTTTTACACTTTTTATAGAAAAATTCATAATTTGATCTCAGATTGTGGCTCAATATTTTTATGTTATCATTGTACATGTTGGTGCTGATGACGTCAGTGGTTGAGCTAATCCAATTACTCTTAAACGACTTTTTAAAAGTACATGTTTGTAGTTGCTGGTAAAGTACTTCAGGATTCTTCAGGACCAACAGGACTGTAGAAGCATAAGATGAAATTAGCCTCATTTAAGCACCGCGGTAAGCGATCCATTTATAAAAACTATCAAGAGAACATTTGACTATTTGCATATTCAGTATACGTCCCCTTATTCAGACAGAAAATCCTTTCATTTGAATTGAACATCCCCCTCCAACTCGTACAGGACCTCCAGCTCCAGGCGACAAGCGGATTAGCCCGTGTTTCTGCCGCAACGAGAAGCACGTCGGGTTGGATTCTGCTTGAGCGTAGTTTAGCGTCAGCTTTCATTGTATCTGCATTCAGTTTAACTCCATTTTAATACAAAATTAACCTTCACACAATATTATTTGTGGAAGATGAAGGACAAGAATAGGCTTGTGATTAAAGTTCAGGATTTCTAGGTTCAGTGTTGGAGCTTGTGCCTTTGACGCCTCGGGTAACCTTTGGTGCATTATTGACTTAATTTTTTAAAAACATGAGTTGTTTGAATCCCTGGTGACCTCCCCTTGTGCCTGGTTGGTACCTCCTATGCCTACATTTACCACATCCCTCTAAAGGAGTGGATTTGGCCACATTTCTAGCACCCAAGCTTTGGACATGAGAGGTGCCAGAGACTGTCTGTAGGCACCTTCAGCATGAGCTGGTGGTGAAAGGACAACCAAGGACGTGGCCACACAGGCCCAGACAGGACGAAGCTTTGTGGAGCCTGGAGCAAACAGCAGATTACAGAAACTTCAAACAACACAGGAAAACAGCTCTCGTGTGACTTTCTAAGGAAGGACAAAAAGACGATCAAATACGCTCGTTAAGGATGTTTCACGCAGCGGGTGGGAAAGGGAAAGAGGCTCACAGGGCAGCACATCGCCTAAACGCTTTGCAAAACCAATTGCATCTGGGCTGAGCACTAGGAAGAAAATAATGGTTAACCTGAGGTCTTGCATGTATTTACCTGCTCATATTATAAATGCTCACAGTAAGATCTTTTTTAGCAATATCCTTTAGCCTACTTTGTGTTTCCAGTTCTGCCTAAAAGTCATCTGTGACAGACTGCGGGCCTTAGGACCTGACTCTAAGAGGAGACAGGCAAGTAATGGTTGAGGTTTCCCCCACAAAATCCAAGAGCAGTTTCCACCTTTTCAAAGACTTTGACCAGCTGAGCGACCGCAAACTGCTTTCGCACGAGGCAGACGCAGACTGCAGTCGGGAGAGTATGAGTTACTGAGACATCACCAACCCAGGACCGGGCTCGAGGTGCTTGTCCACCTCCGAGACACACAGAAGCGGCATTATCCGCACAGAACGAAGACTCAGGCTCTCACATTTGCTTCTCGCTTCTTCGAGTTTGTTTTTTCTCGCTGTTCAGGATGCAATTTAACGCACCACAACTGTGATTTGCATGCATAAAGTGTATATGGAGATTTAGATACATTCAAGATCTTCCCACTTCAGGTCTGGATGAATCAGGTTTAAGAGAACAAGTGGCAATTGACATTTCTGTCTTCCACTCTGTCTGCAGAGCACCCAGTCTGAGGCCTCGCCCCCAGGTGAGGTTCACTGCCAGGTATCATGGATCATACGAATCATTAAGAACCGTAATAAAAACTCCCAGCGCCCATAAAATTTGCATTTTATGAGAATAAATTAGCAGCAGTATCTTCCACTTCCCTGCAAAGCCAACAGCATCACCTCTTCTCTCCTGCTTGCTTAGTTAAAGGAACAGTGTATTGCACCTCGCTGCTGCTCCTGTTTGGTTTCCCCATGAAAAACACACGAAACACAACACAAAGCTTGCTGATCAGCCTACCCAGCCTTCAACTTAACGAGGTTAATAGGCCTATAACGTGGTATTTCCCTCCCCTGTTACAGCAGTAAATCTAAAGTGTTTGAACTGGCATTGCGTGCCTTTGCTATGGGATCAAAAGAATAAAAATGGAAGTATACACCAAAACCACATCTGCACGGTCCTCCGGTGTAACCCCAAACACTGTAAAACCACAGCAGTGAGAGGTCTGGATAAAGGCAAGGTGCCAAATCTTCTTGTTCCCCTCTAGGATGCTCACAGTGAAACCTCAGCGTGGCTTTTTTGGAGAAAGCTGCCGGGATATTTCGCTCCGAGCTCAAAGTTTTTCCTGCTTTTAAGAACATCATGAAACCAAAGAGCCTGGATGGTTTGCACTGAGATCGTGGCAAGGTGCAAAATGGAAATTAATCATACTCACAGCCAAAAAATCTCTTTCTGACTCAGTGATAATAGAAAATCCCAGCAAGGCACAAAGATGGAAGAGAAGCAGAAGTCGGAAACCGGGCTTATTCCTTCGTCGTTCTTGCTGTGTTCTCACTACCAGCAAGGGGACGCAACCAAACCCTTCCCTTGCGCTGCTGAGATCTCATCTACAGAGGCACAAAGGAGCTAAAAAGTTGCTGTAGGTGCACACTTGACTATTTCTGCGCATCCCCCTGCCGTGACTGTTTCTAATCCCCTTAAACTTGGTTACGATGCAGAAGGAGCATGTCCCTGGTGGGCAGGGGCGAGGGGTTAGGAGGCCAAACGCTGCGATGGGGAAAGCACAGCTCTCGCCTCCCCTCCTGCCCTTGGATATTTGACCAGGCAGCGACCAACGGTCTCCAACCACGCCATGAGCCACGTGTCACCCGTGCCCGTGGGCAGGAGCCTCCCCTCTGTGTGATTTCCTTTGCTCCTCTGCCACCAAGGTGTTTGCACAGGCGTGCTCTCCGAGGAGGACGCCATGGTCTCATCAAAGCTCAGGTGCGTATTTCCCGAGCCCATCAAGGCCCGCGTTGGCTGCTGTGGATAAACAGCTCTGCGCTCCTGTTTCAACTTCACAAGTTCTCCAGAAGGAGAGACACATTTACTGAACTTCATTTTGCTTGCTAACACTGCCGTCCGCAGTGCCAAGAAAGCCAATGGGATTCTTGGGTGCATTAGGAGGAGTGTGGCCAGCAGGTTGAGGGAGGTTCTCCTTCCCCTCTACTCTGCCCTGGTGAGGCCCCATCTGGAGTCCTGTGTCCAGTGCTGGGCTCCCCAGTTCAAGAAAGA